AGTCATTGCATGTCTTCAGGATACTTTCTTAGAACACAATGTTCTAGAGCTGACTAGAAAGCAGACTACACTGGACCTCATTTGTGCAATGAAGTAGGATTAATTAATGATTAGTGAAGATTCCTCCTGGTATTAGCAACCATAATATGATTAAATTTTCCATTCTGTTTGAGGGGGAGAGGAGTGGGTCTGAGATTGTTTCTAAAAAAAAACCAAGGCCATGCAAGCCGAGCTGGCTAAAGTGAATTGATAAATTAGGTTAAGGGATATGTCTATAGAGATGCAGCGGCAGACATTTAAGGGGATATTACAGAATAGATACATTCCAACAAATCAGAAAAATTCCAAAGGATGGATCCATTATCCATGATTTGGTAAAATTTTAAAATAATATCAAACCAGAAGAAAAAGCACATAATTAATGCAAGTACAGGTAGCAAGTCAGAAAATTTGGGAAAAATATAAAATGACAAGAAATTACAAGGAGGAAAAATTAAAGTACTAGAAAAAGCTAGACAGAAATATAAAACAGTAAGAGTTTCTATAAATATATAAAAATAAGAAGGTTTAACAATGTCAGTATTGATCTTGTGAGAAGAGAGACCGGAGAATTGGTAATGGAAAATAAAGAAATGGCAAATGAATTGAATAGGTATTTAGCATCAGTCTCCACTATAGAAGATACAAGCAATAATGCAGAAGCAATGATAAATCAGCTGAAGAAAATCAAATGACAGAGAAGTGGTTCTCAGTAAATAGTTAGAGCTATGGGCTGACAAGTATCCACGTCCTGATCAACTTCATCCTAGCATCTGAAAAATAGTAGTTAATGAGATGGCTGATGCATTGGTTTTAATTTTGCAAAATGCCCTTGATTTGTGCATGGTCGCATTAGCTTGGAAGATAGTAAATATAACCCCTTTGCTCAAAAAGACAGTGGTACAGTCAGCAGCAAATGCAGGTCAGTTAACTTATTATCTATCTGTTACCCTTTTTAGAATTGAGAAAAGGCAACTTTATTTTTTCACAAAGGTCATGAGTCTTTGGAATGCTCTGTCTAAAAAAGGTGAGGGGAGCACAGTCTTTGAATATTTTTAAGACAGAGGTATATAGGTTCTTGTTAAGTAAGGGCCAGAAGGGTTATTGTATAGACAGCAATGTGGATTTGAGTTTGTAGTCAGATCAGCCATGAGCTTATTGGATGGTGGAGTGGCTTTGAGGGGCTGAATTGCCACCTTCTGCTCCCACACCTTCTGCTCCCAGTGGTAGACCCTCAGTTCACTGATAGACCCTCAATCATGAGTGTACTCTCCCAGCCTCTCAATAATACTTATTAATAAAACCATCTTTGAAGGTCAGGCCATTTGTGTTTGCAACAGTCTTGTCATAAAAAACTAGAATTTTGATATGATTTCTAAAGGGAAAAATATCTTTTCAGTTCCTCTACTGGCATGCCGGAAGGTTATTGAACCCAAATTTGTTTGGCTAGGGTCATCCACGATCAGATCTTGTCATCAAAATGTGATATACGGCACTATTACAATTGACAAAACCAAGTTTTGAATATAAGGTAGACTTTAGACCAGGGTATATTAAATGAATGTACAAAGGGAAGACAAGTAGAAATTGATGAAAGTAAAATCCTCAAAATATATTCATACATCAAATTAATTGGAGGTTATAAGCACAGTTTTCTGCAAAATGTGCAGTGGTAACTCATTTGTACAACTCCTTACAAGGATCTAATTGGACTTTGACCTTATCAGTTTGTTATGTTCAGCTGATTATTCCTGACTTGTGTGAACTTTTTGGTGCTAACAAGATCAGTAGAATTCCATGTTGTTATTACCTGTAATGTCTTACTATAGATAATAGCCACGTCATGGAGTGAATTGTTTTAGCCATAATAATAAGTTGATTCTTTACCACATCCCCTTATGCCCAACTCTGTGTATCACTTAATGAAGAAAATTCTCTTACAGGCTTTGATTCTTGTATCTAATAGATTTCAGTCCCTGAAATGTGGGAATCAGTATGCGATTGTATGACTTTTCTATATTAAAAGGTAAAGGTCAGTCTGATTCAGTTGGTAAGACAAGATTTTCTTGAAACAAATTAAAGCATTAAAATATAAGATTCATACTGTCTACTTAAAAAATGTAGTTTAAAAAAATAATATTACTACAATATAAAGACAAATAGATAGGAGTATATTAGCACAATTCAACTCAATCTGATTAAACTATCTTTCCATTAGACTGTGTCCCATTTAGGATATCTATTTCATGAAGAAAGTCAAATCTATGGAGAAGGGACAAAAGACAAAATAAGAGAGATGGGTAGGCTCTGAACATAATATTAGAAAATTAAGCTGAGCAGGTGGAAGGGGTGTCTGAGGGAGAGCGCTTTGGTAGAAGTAGCCATAATCCAGTTAGAATTAAGCTAGTTATGGAAAAGGACAAATATAGACATGAATAAAAGTTCTCAACAGGGAAAAACTTAATTAAGCTGAGATGTGATTTACAGCTACTTGAAAGTAAATTAATGCCAAGTCAGTAGGTGGTTTCAAGGAAATATACTGAAGGATTAGAGCATGTATGTATCCTTTAAAGAAGAAGAATGGGACTAACAAACCCAGAACCTGCTGAAAGGCTTAAAGAAGAGGATAAAAATAAAAGAGAAACTTGTGGCACATAACCAGGTGTTTAATACAAGAGTAAACTGGGAGAAGTATAAAAAATATGGGAGTAAGAGTAAGTTAGGAAAGCAAAGAGAGTACATGAATACATTTTGGCAATTAAAATCAGGAAAAAAATGTGATTTTTTTTTTTATACATACCTAAAGAGCAAGAGGCCAACTAAAGAAAGAGTAGAGTCTATTAGGAACCACATGAATAAGCTGTGTGAGGGGTCAGAGAACCTAAGAATGGTTCTTAATGAATACTTTGTGCTCATTCTCTCAAATGAGAGGTATAATACCAACACTGCAAGTATGGAGGAGTGTGAAAGAGCTCCTAGATTTTGACAAAGGGAGAGAGGAAGTATTGTGGAGTTTAATATCTACGTCAATGTATAAATCCCCAGCCCAGGATGAACTGTATCCGAGCCTAACAGTGTCCTAGGAAGCAGGAGAATTAGTAGTGGAGGCTCTGGTCATCATCTTCTAATCTTCTTTGGCTAGAGATATGGTTCCAGTGGACTGCAGGTCAGCTTAAGTTGTACTATTGTTTAGTGGAGAGAAAGGAATAGGTTGGATGATTACTGACCAGTCACCCTTTCCTCTCTGGTCGAAAAATTATTGGAACAAGTTTGACTGACAGGATGTAAATTAATTTAGACACTCATTAATGAAAGACATTCCATATGAATTTGCTAAGAGAAGATCATGCCTAACAAAAATAATTTGAATTTTTGAGGACGGAGCAAGGAAGGTCATCAAGTTTAATACATTTGATGTAGTTCTTTTGGACTTTAACAATGTTGCGATTAGATCTCACATAAGTAGACTGGTCACGAAAGTAAAAGACCTCAGACAAAGTGACAAATTGGATCAGAAGCTGGAATACAAGAATAATGAACAGTGGGGTGTGTTTTGTGACGAGAAGGCTATTTCCACTGGGTCTCCACAGAGATCAATGCTAAGGCTCTTGCTTTTTGTGGCACCTATCCAACGATTTGGATTGGAATCTAGGTACATATGATGAAATTTTGCAGCTAATAGAAAATTTGGCCAACGGTTTAATAAGGAAGGAGAAAGCTGAAAACTATAGGAAGTTATCACCAGACTAGTGAAATAGGTGGAATAGGGTCTAATAGAGTTCAGTCTGGCAAAAAGAAGTAACAAATTTGGGGAATGCTAACAAGGCAAGGGAAGACACAAAAAATGGAAAGATACTGTGATTATATAGAGCAAAAGAGGGACTTGGTGTCAATGTCCGTAGATCCCTGAAGATGGCTGGGAAAGCAGATAAGAAGGTATGGAAGATGTTTAGGAAGTTAAAAGAGGGTTTAAGAGGAAAGCTTTTCACTCAAATTGTTGGGCTCTGACCCTGCCTGAAAGAGTGGTAGAAGTAGAAACCTTTAAATTTAAGATGCAAATGGCTATGTAATGAAGTGGCTTACTGATAGAAAGTAAGATTGGATTGGATGGCTATTCATTGGCTGATACGAACATTTTGGGCTGATTGGTCTCTTTCAATGCAGCACATTTCTATGATTCTGTTATCTTTGTGAATATAATATTGGGGAATGAGAGGCTTTAACAATGAGAGACTTGAGGAAAGCAGTCACCTCTGATAGAACAGAGAAGACAAGAGATGATTGAGGTAAGTAGGAAAAAATATTCTCATTGGTCACCATTTACAATGAGAAGGTACATATTTAATTTAATTAAAAGAATCTTTAGCAGAATTTTTTTTATACATGGATCATTGTTAGGAGAAGGAATATTCTACAAGATTCATTGGGAGAAGAATTCGTAGTGAGGAAATGGATAAATAGACCAAAAAAGGTGTGGGGAAAGGGTAAAGAAATAAAAGGCATTGATGTAGAAATGATTGTGTGTGAGAGAACGAGAGTACACACAGAGAAAAAGAAATCAACCTACCATCAATCACCCGGGGTTGGTCTTTTATGTAATGAAACTGACAAAATCAGTCTGATTAATTACAGTTGTCTCTTGAATTGTCTTTTCATGTTTTCTTTTTTTCCACCTTTTCAAATCCCTTTTGTAGCCTAACTTCTGTCTCAATTATCCCTTAATTTACTGTCTCATATAGAACACCTTAACTCATGCACCTCAACTTCCTGACATATTTAGGTTATGATACTGCAAACTAAGATAGTGTCCGAAACTTGACTGAATTTACTATATGCAAGTATGTGCCTTTCTTAGACAGTAAACTGGATTATGTCACAGTATGCTTTATGTCCACTTATAAATATCATTTGTATTCCATTTAATGAAGTGCTGCACAAATCTGTGTGTGTTTTCCCTACAGATCTGGGATATTGGTGGTCAGCCAAGATTCCGAAGCATGTGGGAACGTTACTGCAGAGGAGTTAATGCTATTGTGTAAGTTTTCAAATGATAAATTGTGATCTTTCTACTCGTTTGGATGTTGTATGTCATACTGTCCTTCCTCCTGCCAACTAAGTCTGTTCCTTTTGTTTGAGTTAATTTCATGGTTCAACTATTTCTTATTTTTAGCTACATGGTGGATGCTGCAGACTTTGAAAAGATTGAAGCTTCAAAGAACGAACTTCACAACTTATTAGATAAACCACAGTTGCAAGGAATTCCTGTAAGTCTAACTTCTTAAACCTTGTGTTCAAGTTGTCTTGCATTGCGCCTACACATCCAAATAGAAGAGCCTTATCCTTAAGTTTTCTACTCCCTTGCAATTGTGTATGGAATGTGTATTTTCTATCTGTTAATGCTTTTTTTTTTTGAAGCAAAATGTTTTTTTGTGCATCCTTGCAACTCACTTTTCTAAAACAAAATTTAAGCAACACAACCTGCGTTGGTGCTTTACTTGAGAATAACTTTTTGTTTTGAACGCAAGTGCTTCAGAAAATTTTGGAATGTCAATTTTGCCATATGGCATAAAGCGATGAGCTCCATCTTTCAGTTGTATCCCCTGTGCCTTTTTAAAAATGGAATCAGGCTCTTACACATAAATGGAGCACAAAACTACAATGTTAGTACATTATACTGCAATATTTTTATTAACCAGAACCTATAGGATCAGGAGTGCACTGGTTGATCAAGAGGTCCACATTAATCAATGTAAATGCAAGGACTGTGTAACAGAAATGTAATTCAGGGGATATACACATCATCATTACATTTTATTTAAGTGATGTAAGCTGTAAATAATGCAATTTGCCTTAAATAGAACTTAGCGGGAGAGAGCCTTCTCACTCACACCGTCAACTGATTACTCTGACATCGCGAGGATTATGATGATACAGTAAATGCTACGATATTTGAGGTATATAATTGTTTTTCCTGTTTATTGAGAGTGCTGATTTGTACTTGCTACACCCCTTGAAAAGCTGTTCCAGTAAAGCTACAAATATGGCATCTACTCGACAATGAAATCAGAGCAAATCCAAACTGCTGAGTTATTTTCTCATCAGTCAACTCTCAATCATCGGTAAATTGGTACGAGGAATCACCAACTGTGCAATGAAGCAGCACTTACTTCACAATAACCTGCTCACTGACATTCAGTTTGGCTTCCATGAGGGCCGTTCAAGTGTCATGACCTCATTACAGCCTTGGTTCAAACAAAGAATGAGAAAGAAAAGAGGTGAGGTGAGAGTGACTGTTCTTGACATTAATGCCACATTTGACTGAGCGGGGCATCAAGGAGCCCCAGCAAAACTGGAGTCACAGGAATTGGGAGAAAGCTCTCCATTGGTTGGATTCGTACATAACGAGGATGGTTGTCATTGTTGGAAATCAGTCTTCCAGTTATAAGACATCTCTGTAATAGTTGCTCAGGGTTTTGTCCTTGGCACAACTATTTTCAGCTGTTTTATTTATAGTCTTTCCGCCACTGTAAGGTCAGAGGGTGGGATGATGATTGCACAATTCATCACTCCTCAGATACTGAAGCAGTATAAGTCCAAATGCAGCAAGGCCTGGACAATATCCAGCCTTAAGCTGAGAAGTATCAAGTAATGTTGTGTCATAAAAGTGCCAGACAATGATCATATTCAACAAGAACAAATCTACCTATTGACCTTTTGACATTCAATGGTATTACCATTGCTGAATCCTCTATCAGTATATGTAGGGTTACCATTGACCAGAAATTGATCTGGGCTTGTCATATAAATATAGTAGCTACAAGAACAAGTCAGAGGCTAGCAATCCTGCAGAAGGTAACTCACCTCCTGACTCCCCAAAACCTATCCACAATCTACAAGTTACAGATGCTTGACTGTGCATTCGACTTGTAAGACTCAGGATCAGATCTATACCAATTTGAGAGGTGTGAAAGTGGCCTTATTTCCCTAATTTGTTGTCTTGCCAAAATCATTAAAAAGGGTTTCTGAATAAAATTGCTTTATGTTAGGTCTTTTTGACTGCTACCAGCTTTCTGAGCTCAATGAGCTGTCTAACAGATTTGCTATAAATATCAATTTGCTTGTTGTCAAAGTTTGCAGAATGAGTGCAAATTGAGAGAACTGCAGATGCTGTAAATCAGAAACAAAAATAGAGTGTGCTGGAAAAATCAGCAGGTCTGGCAGCATCTGTGACCTTTCCTCAGAACTGTGCTACTCTCTCTTATTTGGACTCCTTATCGGAGCCAGCAGAAGAAAGGGAGTGGTGACAAAATAACTGCAGATTCTGGAATCTAAGGTAGACGAACAGGAGGCTGGAAGAACACAGCAAGCCGGGCAGCATCTGGAGGAAAGGAGAAGTCAACGTTTCAGGTATTAGCCTTCTTCAGGACTGCTTGTTATTCACATCTTGCTAGGGGATCCCCTTTGGTTAAGTTATTCCATGAAGGGTCACTGGACCTGAAACATTAACTCTGATTTCTCTTCACAGATGCTGCCAGACCTGCTGAGCTTTTCCAGCAACTTTGTTTTTGTTGACAGAAAGAGTCCCTGCATTTGTTTTTAAATATGAGGGTGATACAGCAAAAGCAGGATTTAAGGCACATTCCTACTTGCCTTGTGGACATTAAGAGTGAACCATGGAGTGTGGAAGTCACATGTAAGACAGACCCTGTACAACGTGAAAAGTTCTCCTCTCTCATGTTTTCCTAGTGCTAGCCCACAAAGTTACTGAATTCCCTTTCACAACTATGATAATGGAATTTGTTATCACGATTCTCCAGGTCACTAGCCGAGTACTACGGCATTTTGTAACACCTTACACTGTGCACATACTCAGGTAGTCATACGTGTGCAAAGTTCAGAGACTAATATCATAGTTAGACTATGTGGGAATAGTTTTAAGGAAAGAACTTGTTGCTGCATGATGTCCATCGCGAGCTCAAGCACTTTGTAAAGCATGAAATGTTCTCTGCGAAAGTCCGTGTTAGATGGAAGAATTACAGCAGCCAATTTGTGTGCAGCAAGAGCTCACAAGTAACAATGTCAGTGTAAGTATGGGAAAATGAGGATATTCTTTGAATATTTTAAGCCCTAATAAGCCTCTCGGGTGTCCAAGATGAGGTTTTATGCTGAAGCACATGCTTAACACAACATTCCCTTTTGGTCAAGGAGTTGAAGCTCTCACTCAGAATGGGCCTCTGGAAGATTATTAGGAGTCAATTACCATTTAAATTCCTGGGCAACCACATGATAGAGGCTGCAGGTCATTTTGGTGGATAACACTTGGCCTGACTACATCTTATAATTGAGACAAGCTGATCGTGAGTAAACTAGATGGTGCTGAAGATTAAACTTTAGTTTGTAAAAGACAAATACCCTTGAAGTGTTTGCTTACTGCTGGAGGATTGAAGAGGATTTTGAAATAGTGGGAGATTTTTCTAGGACAATGTTTTCATCCACACTGTCAACATTTAGTCTGGAAATTCTCCAAAGACTGCACCTAAAAAGAATTAGTGCTGTGCTACTCTATCTTATTTGGACTCCTTATCGGAGCCAGCAGAAGAAAGGGAGTGGGGACAAAAAGACTGCAGATGCTGGAATCTAAGGTTGACAAACAGGAGGCTGGAAGAACACAGCAAGCCAGGCAGCATCTGGAGGAAAGGAACAGTCAATGTTTCAGGTATTACCCTTCTTCAGACTGCTTGTTTATTCACACCTTGATAGGGGATCCCCTTTGCTTGAGTTATTCCATGAAAAATGAGTGCATGCCTGCAGGCATGAGACTTCATCTTGGATACCTCAGAGACTTTTAAGAGCTTAAAATATTCGAAGAATATCCTCATTTTCCCATACTTACGCTGATGTATCTGGTCATGGTCACATTGTTACTTGTGAGCCCTTGCTGCACACAAATTGGCTGCTACAATTCTTCCATCTAACACTGACTTTAGCAGAGAACTTTTCATGCTTTACAAAGTGCTTGAACTTGCAATGGACATCATGTAGCAACAAGTTCTTTCTTTAAAACCTTTCCTGCATTGTTTAAATTATAGTAATCAGCAATTAAAAGCATAACTGCATGCTAAATCCAGGTTTGCAAACGGACAATAACCAGTGTCATGATCTTGAAGGGAAGATTGGAGCTCAAGACCCATGATTTGATGAGTCTTCACAAAAGTGAAAATGACCAATTTAATTACTAAGACCACTATCTTAAAAAAAAAACTCACACCAGGTTTACATCATTAAACAAGTAAAGCAAACTTATTTAATGCAACACACTTTTATTATTTAATTTGGTAAAATTAATTTCTCTTAAGGAAATCTAAGCTATGCCCCTTTAAAATCAAACATGCACACATTCATTCACAAATATGATTCACTAGACAGGGAGCTTTACAGAACTACCATGAGTGGAAACCATAGGTAAACGGGAAGAAATTCAATGGATCAAGTGTCCAAACTGTAAGGTTGGAATAAGGTGACTTTCTAACAGTCTGGCTTTTGGCGAGGATGTGCCTGCAATGTTTGTAGTGATCCTCCATTCAGTAGCTGGTCAGTTGGTCCTAACTTTTTGCTTGAGTTGAAAGTTTTTCTTTTCAGGATATTTTTGTGCTGCTTTTCTTCCACTCAGAGGGAGAGAGAGAAATCTGTCCTGGTTTCAGGCTTTGGAAGGTCTTGGAGCAATTGCTCTTGTTTCAGTTCTGTTACGAGCTATAACAACTAATTAAAAGCTGTTGCTGGCAATGTTTTTTAATACAAAGATACCTGGTGTCAGCATGTCTTGAAAAGGTATCAAATCCAGAATGTTCAATTAATTTCTACTTTCCAAAGTTACATGACTTTTGTGTAAACAGTTGATAGGCACCCCATTGAACACCTTCAACATTCACTCCTTCCACCATTGATGCACAGTGATGGCAGTTTATACTGTCTGCACTAAACATCTGCTTCTACTACATGCACTGCAGTAATTCACTAAGGCTCCTTAAACAACTCTTATCAAATCCGCATCTCAGTCACCTAGAAGGACAAAGGGCAACTGATCCGTGAAAGAACCGCCACCTGCTGGACACACACAATTCTGCCTTGGAACTTTATTTACCTTTCCCTCACTGTGGCTGGGTTAAAATCTCGGAACTCCCTTCCTAGTAGCACTGTGGGTCTGCATTTATCTCATGGACTGAAGTGGTTCAAGAAGGCAACTCACTGCCATTATCTTGAGGGA